GCTGAAGGGGGAGAAGGTGCCCAGAGGGGCTGGGGACGAGGGACACCGTGAAGGGAGCAAGGTCCCAGCATCCTTCCCTGGAGGAGGAGATGGCTGTGCCACGGCCGAGGCTCTTTGCCCCCCTCCAGCGCTGCCGGTGCAGCTTACCCGGGCCCATAACCGCATTGACACGGCGGCGCCAGGGAGGCAGGTGGGAGGGTAAACAGAATAAAGAGCAAAAGCAAAGTTAATGGCTTTGGAAAGCGGCGGTGGTAAATGGCAGCGGCTCCTCTGCGGGGAAACGGTGTGCTGGCTTGGCACGTCCCGGCTCTGCGGCTGCTCCCCCTCTGCCAATTAAGGCTGGAACCAGCGCCGACGCTGGGTAAACAGGGAGGAACGTGACCCTCGGGATGGCTAATGAGCCGCATCTCGACATTGGGAAGCCGGCAAATGGAGCCGGTGAGGAACCTCTTGGTTGGAGAGAGCAGAGCCGGCACGGTGCTGGGCAGGCAGAGCCAAGCGGGGCACTGACGGGCTGGCGGTGAGGAGGGGAGTCACGGCCGGTGCCGGAGCTGGGAGGGGGACCCCCTGGCAGGGCTGCGGGCAGCGACCCCGGGATGCCTCTACCTGCCCGGAGGAAGGTTCAACCCTCTCTCCAGGGCTGCCTGCTCAGGCAGGAGTGGGACGGGCAGCTGAATTCCTGTCTCCCAGGGCCTTTCCCACCTAACCCTGATGCTGTGCTGACCGATGCAAGGGCAGGATCAGGCCTGTCCGTCATCCCCGAGCACTACCAGCCTGCAGGTGCACAGCCGGCACCTGAGCATCCCCTCTCCTGGGGTGCTGGGGGGCAAATGGGGACCGGGGGGAGCAGGAGGACCCTGGGAGGATGGAGGCGAGGGGGGGGGCAGGCTCTGTGGAGGAGTGACAATGTCATGTGCTGAGATACAGCAGCAGCATGGGACTCAGATTAGTCCTCAGCGTTTGAGGTTTGAAAGCCAGCGCTGATACAGGAGATAGGGTTAAGCCAGATTAAAGATCACACGGCTCCGGCAGCTCGGAGCAGGCTGCCTCTGCGGCTCCCAGCCCGGGCGGAAGGCAGCCTGGCAGGCAGCGATATCGGGGCCAAACAGACGGTCACCCCTGCACGGGAGCCACCGCCGGCACGGCTGCCTCCCCGTCCTCCTCCTTGGGGCAGTGTCACTCCCCGCCGGTGGCTGTCCCGCAGGCTGGAGCATCCCTGCACTCCTCGGGGACTAAAGGGGACCCTGAGCACCCACACCGGCCGGCAATGCAGTGGGTGATCTGCCGCAAAACCATGGGGCAAAGTGAGCTGGGGGAGCACATGAGACCCTTCCCTGAGCCCCTGGGCTGGGGGAGCAGCCCCTGACCCCCATGATGGGGCCGTAGGGGACCTGGCTCTTCCCGCTGGCAGCAAATCCCCGAGGTGGTGCCAGCCGAGCGGCTGTGCCGGGGTAAGCAATGGAGAGAGCAGAGGAGCGAGCAATGGGGAGAGCGATGGGGAGAGCAGAGAGCAGAGGAGAGAGCAATGGAGAGAGCAGAGGAGAGAGCGATGAAGAGAGTGATGGAGCGAGCGATGGAGAGAGCAGAGGAGCAAGTGATGGAGAGAGCGATGGAGAGAGCAGAGGAGAGCGCACACTTACAGGAAGGACTTCATGTCCGTGCCGCGGTTGCGGATTTGCCCCACCACATGGTCCCAGCTGCCGGGATTGGAGCGGCTCCGGCCGCCAGCCGTGCGATGCTTGGAGCCGGCGGCGATGCCCTGGCGTGCCTGGCCGCCGCGGGAGCCCCGGGGATTGCCGGTGCCGGCGGAGGAGCCGCTGTGGGCCTGGAGGTGGCCCAGGCTCTGGCTGGTGGTGGGCTGGCTGTGGTTGGCACGCTGGTGCTGGCTGAGGGGCTGCTGCAGACTTTGCTGGCGCATGAGCGTGCGGGGCCTCTGGCATTTGGGGTCGCCTGCTGAGGTGGGGATATACTCAAGGGTAGTGGCTGTGGACAAGGTGGAGTCCTCGAAACTTAGGGAGAGGAAGGGCAGAGGAGAGGAGAGAAAGGAGAAGAAGGTGAAGGGGCAAAATTGGAGGAAGGAAAAGAAGAGAGTTAGAGAGAAGATGCCCCAGCGCAGGGAGCGCTCCGGCAGGGGCCAGCGGATGCAGCGACCGGTTCCTCTGCCTCTTGGCCCTGGCTCGGCCTCGCCGGTGGCACGGGGCTCTCGCACCGCCGCCATCTCGCCCAGGCGCCGTCCCGGGCTGCTGGGGGGCTCGGCCGTGGCACCGCAGCACCCGGCCGGCTGGGTGCCCTCCCGCTCCCGCAGCTGCCGCACAGCCGGTGCCTTCCCAGCACGCCGGCCAACCTCGTCTGTGAGCTAATTAGGCTGCTGCGTGAAGGCAAATCCCACAGCGCCCGCTCACGTGCTGCCAGCCAGCCCGCCCCGTCCCCATCCCTCCCAGCCCAGCACCCAGCCGCCAGCACCCTCATCGCCGGGTCTCAGCATCCCCTGTCTTGAGGGACCGTGCTGGCCAGGGGCTCCTGCAGCGATGGGAGGGCCGAGCCCGCCGTGGCCGTGGCATGCCAGCAAGCCGGGTGTCCCCAGGGCCAAGCCAGGCTGCCAGCGGAGAGGGACCCCACTGGGGTGGGAGTCTGGCCACGCTCCCAGTCCCCTGATCACGGGATGGGAGGTCATGGGGACATGGCCCCGGCAGGACGCGGAAGCGGCAGTGCCCATTGCTGGCCATGCAGTCGGCCGCACACCGGGGCGGCAGCACATGCGTGGCACGGCCCATGCAGCTGGGCAGGAGCCCCGGGGACGGCGCTGATGCAGCCTGCAAAGCTCGTGGCCATGAGATCAGGGCGTCCAACCAGCCTGGCAAAAGCCCTTGGGGGTCCTCGATGCACAAGGGCAGGGGACCACCGCCCCGCCTGGCACTGAGGAGTCGCCTTCAGCAGCAGCCCCTGACCTTACCCCAGTCCCTGTGCCGCCCGGGGCTGGCCGGGGTGCCAGCTGAAACCGCGTGGCGAAGCTGTGCCGTCGTGCATTGCCAGCAGCGGGGGACAGAGAGGGAGGGGGGAAGGATAAATAGCTTAAAAAAAAAAAAAAAAGAGGTGAAGAAAGAGTGAAAGGTGAGAGAAAGAGAGAGAGGACAGAGGGAAGGTGAGAGGAGCGGAGAGCTGGGACGGATCCGGCCCCACGACCGGGGCCGAAGGCACGCGGGGCACTGCCCGGGCGCGGCACCACCCCCATCGCGCCTGCCGCCGACCTCCTTTCGCTTTCCTATCGAATCCTAAATTAGTTCAATTTACAACCTCTCAGTCACAGGAAACTAAATCTGGCTCCTCTCGGCCCGGCGCCAGCTGGAGGCGCGAGCTCCTGCCAGCACCGTGCCAGGCAGCAGCGCACCCTGCCCGCACACCCTGCCTGTGCCTGCCCGGGTGCCCCCGCTACCAGGGGAGGGGTACAGCTGCCAGACCCCCAGCTCCCCCCCCATGAACACCCCCAAACCCAAAGGCTCTATGCAGAAGAGATGCTGAAAGGCAAGATGCTTCGCCGGCAGCTTCCTCATCCCCTTAACTCTGCCCTCGCCGCCTGCGCCAGCCCAGCGCACCATGGCAGACGGACGGACGGACAGCTCCCAGCCCCTCTGAGCAATGGAGCTACCAGCCAGGACAGCAGAGCCCATCCCCACGCCGGTGCTGGCCCAGCTGGTGCGGCATGGCCGCCGGCACAGCCCGGCTGTGAGTCAGCGGGAGCGGAGATGCCGAGCGGCATGCGGGCGCGTGTCCGCGGCTCTTGGCACGGCAGCTGCACGATGCCTTTTCTTAGCCGGCCTTCGCACATCCCGCCGGAGGAGCGCGGGCTCCCAGCGGGTTTCGCTTCTCCGCCGAGACTGGGTATGGCTGAAGGCTGCGCAGCTCCCCCTCTTCCTCGCCTCTCCCTCCCGCCTCCCAGCAGCTGAGCCGGAGCACACCAGCATCATGCCAAACGGGAAGCCACGGCTCCAAACGAGATGGACACCAATCTTTGGGGCTCCAGGTGGCATTTGGGATTTGTCCAAGGTGGCAGGACTGGCCTTTCTCTTTTGAAAAGGTTTTCTCCCTGCCGACAAGGCTGGAAGAAGCAGCGGGGACAAGGCACGCCAGCCCTGGGAAGTGCCTTTGCCGTCACCACTGACCTCTCCCAGGGCGCCGGGGCCGCTGCCGGGACCCGCTGGCTGCTCAGCTGGCAGCATGGCGCTCGGGCTGCCCGAATCGGGGG